GTATTGGCTAAGTTTCGTATTTCATCTTTGTGTATGGTTAATAATGTTCGTAAAGTTGAATTACCCAGACCAAATTCAATGTATTCAGATGAAGCGTATTAGACGGTCTGAAGGGTCCGATGTATTGGGATAGACACGGTAGATTTCCAGAAGTGGGTCAAGGTACATTTTCAGAAGACGTGGACGCAATATGTCGACATCTTGTCGAAAATATCAATCACAAAAACCTTTAATTTGGCTATGGGCTAAACGATTAAGGGGTTCAAAGACAAACATTTATGCTATATAGTATTTTGATTCCGGGGTTAAAAACGTTTTCTTTCTTTCAGGTAGTCTGAAAAGGATTTTCTGCTTTTCAATTCGAGGTGGAAGCATTTGACCAAACAGCCTCAGAAATCACCTGATCTGATCAAGATTTTCTACCAACTGCCACGCATCACCTGATCGAACTCTCATGACTTTTGACTTTTCCTAACTTGCCCCCACCTACCTTTTGAAAGGATGGCAATCATGGGATCGCCCTGGCAATGACTGAAACGGGGGGGGGGATATCCACCCTCGTATGTTTGTGCACAAAACACTACTGCATTATGTTAATACATGCAAACCTACTCCCCTCTAAAATACTCCTCCCCCCTTTGAAAAATGTATCCGGCCACTGTCTGTCATACTTGCCCATGTGTCTGGAAGCTTGTGGTTGGCGCCAGCACTGTAAACAGATAATGTGTTGACCTGGAGTCCTGGATAAGCCCTTGTGATTGACAGGACCAAGCCTGGGTTTGGAGAGGTTGGCCGCGTGGAATTATTTTACACTGTCTAGGCCCAGCAGTTGATAAAACGGCCCTGGATGAGTGAGTCACGGTGAATCAAGCGTGTATGGCGGGAATTTCCCTTGTATTTTTAGTATCGCCGGTGTATTTCCGCATTGTTGAATTCAGCGCCCCCACTGCAGACCACGACCCCAAAAAGGATACTTCCCCCACAAAGCATACTGAGAAGTCTTCCTGGGAAGGCCTCCGTCTGATTTATTTTGAAAGAAACAGAAAAGGACATTTAATCATGGGATCGTTGAACTGCAATCAGATTTGAACCTAGTTTGGTCACAAGGTGCCGAACTGTGTAATAAATTGACATAGGTGCCTCCTGTGCATCATGCATAAAAACAAGAAATACACCATTTGATCAAACTCCTTCAACAAAAATGTTTTTAATTTTCGTTT